TGAAGTATAAACGTAACACTACTCATTGGCACTGAAGACATGAATACTGAAATAGCCAAGGCCCCTTATTCTTCGTACACTAGTCTAATCAGATTAAATGCACACATATGAATCCTAAACTCATGCATGGCTTATGCATCCTTTTTCACTAACTTACATGCTCTATGTTTCTCTATTCTGTTTCCCCACCTTCTCTGTTGCAGTGCTCGATATGGGAGCCCAAAGAGACAGCTGCAGTTTTACAGGTACTGTAACCTTCCTCATGTCCATACTTATTAGACAGAGGCCTACCATTCACAGTAACAGTATTTGTCACTACATTTCTATAGTGCGTAATCACAGCCTAAGGATCCATGTAGAAGATTTATCACAATGTTTTGAATTCCTTTTCAGAATATGCCTTCTTATCATGTCTTTGTACATGATCACAAGCAAAAACCATGACATGCATCCGATATCTACACGAAGTCAAAGAGCGGCGTAATAATTTCATGAGAACACTTGCTGACTCATTTGATAGGACACTTAAACATTTAAACTCCTTCCTGTCAGCAAGCATCTCTCTCTGGAGAGTGGGGAGAGTAGTGGAGACAGCTGGTAGCCAATGGTTATGTGAGTTTTATATTTAGGGTGGCTGTGACATCATTGGCAAATGGTCTGCGCTGAATAATACATATGGCTGTTTTCAAGGCAGGCCAGGAGTCTTTAGTTAGAGCAAAATACAGCACAGGAGATGAAGATTTAATGCGGGGGAAACATTAATGCTCTCAAGTGGTGCCGTCTCGAATATAATGTCTTTATTAATGTTGACATTTTGCATAAAGCGGAGACTCGTTTCATCTTAATGCGCTGTGTGGTTTAGTGGCTTGGACCTCAGGTACCTTTAGCCTTGTTTTCAGTCTTACACCTCATACCTTCCCTCAGTGGACAGTGCTGTTGATTGACAAGAAGTGAATCGTGTCACTTGTGTTTAAGGGTGACCTGTGTACTTCTGAAAGGGGAGCTGAGCAGGACACTTTGCTGTCTATGGGGTGCTTTCCCTGGCACGTGTAATCTGTTTTTTCTCCTCACAGATCCCATACATCATTAATTAAGCAGCAATCCCAGGTTTCATTCCTAAAGCCACGCACCATGGTACACCAACATGGCGTATGTTTTCTGATTGAACTGCTGGTTTCAGAAGGTCCATTGTTTAATAGCAGCATGTGCCTAAGCATGATGGACTTTGTAGCCTTTTCCTTCATCTACTTTGGTCTAAAACTGGACCAGGGCCTGTGATCCACTATGCTCTTATATGACTTGACACGTGCCATGTTGTAGCACCTGAGGGACTACACTCCAGCGTGCGCTGTCACTTGCTCTCTGTCCTGCTAGTAGTGGACTCCCGTGCTGTAGACCTGTTGTATGTTTGAATTTTATACATGTGCCAACCACAGAACAAGCAAAAATGGCTTTTAGTACTCCATCTTGTGGTACAACAATCAAAAGCTTTTAGAGCAAAAGCCTCTTGCATTATTTAGGCCACGCTGTACTTGCTGTGCTTGGCAGGGCACACTGGTACCGTGATTGGCTCAAAAAATGGTTTCCTGTGTGACATCGACCGTGAGAGGCGGGGCTGAGCCCAGTGGAGTTTTTTTTTTTTTTTACACTAACTGTTGTAAGCTCCTGTTAGTAAGGCACTCCCAGTTTGAGAGGCTTAAAGAAACCAGTCATTTTTGTGCTGACCACTACTAGCCTTCTAAATGAGCAGCGTGGTGCAAAACCCCTACATGAGTCGCCCGCCGGCGAGTAACCGGGTGAGTACCGGACAGGCTATCCAGATGCTCCAGCTTAAGGGATGATGCATGGGGATGCTGCATGCACTCACAGTTCAAGGGTGTACTGCACTGGGGCAGGGAAAACAGGACTGTTGGCATGTTATTTTTCCTCACAGAGAGAAGAAAGACTTGTTTTTGAAATATTGAGTATGTTTCTCGCCTCAGGAGAGCTCTACACCAGGGTTTAAGATGAAGGCAGTCGTGGTAAACAAACCCTCTCTGTGGAGGAATTTCGGGGCGTGTGTCTCATGTAGCAGCAGCGTACAGTAGATACAGAGCAGTCAGGACACTATGTGAAGTCGTATTGGCTTTGAACAGACAGTAGGTGAATGTTCCCTTGGGAGGTAATGTCCATATCATCACATGATGATATGGACATACAGCTTGTAATAAACTTAAATTTCACTTTGCATCCCACTTTTGTTCCTGTGTCTTAGCTGTGAGTTCAGTACAGATACAGTTGATAAGGCCTTGGTTATTTAGCCATTGCTGTCATAAAAGGTTGGAATGATACAGTGGATGTTTCGTGATTTCTGTTATGTAATTTCCTGCACATGGGGGTCTTTGTTTACTTTTCTAATGGCATTTTTGAGTAGCTTGTCAGAATAAATACCAATCCTCTGGGCATTGTGTAACACATCTCTTGTAATGTATCCATAATAAAAGTATATTATGAAAAGTCACTGTACTTCTTGTGAACTGTACTTAGGCTACATAATCAACTTAATGTACTGTAAGGACAATTAGTTGCAACTGAGTCAGGCCACAAAGAACCCATACAGCAGTTAGACTGAACTTCATCATGTGAGTCAAACTTTTGAGATAATCACATCCTAAATCATGTTTTTAGGTTCATTTTTTGTTTATTAGTGTATCTGACAACAGCAGAAAGACAAAAAACTATTTTTCACTTTGTTCTTTTTAACACTTGCTGCTAAACAAAGTCATTCACTGTGTATTCAGATACAGTTGTTTGGTGTAAAATGGTTCATTCAGTGTTTCCGGTCTATATATATTCTGCAGCAACAAAATGTCATAAAGTCGCAATTACAAAACTCTGCAAAGGGCTTTTAATTTCAAACAACTTCTCCCGAGAAGAGAGAAAAGTAAATTAAACTAGCATTAAACTAACGTCAAGTTTGATAGACTTTACAGTGTAAAGAACGTTCACAATGTAACATTGTTCTCCATCAATGTTCTTGGCCAAATAATTATTATTATTATAATTTATTATTATATCATGAAATAATGGTCCAGCTAACCTAGCATTAATGTGAACAAGCTAACAAATGAAATCATAACACCAGTAACGTTCCTGCAATAAACGTCAGTAAAATAATTGCCAGTGATGTTTATATGGGGAAGATTACTTTTGAAAAATTATCCCTGTGTGTGTGTGGGAGTGTGGGAGTGGGGGGGTGGTGTTGTCAGTGAACTGTACTATACTGAAAAAAAATCCTAGAAGAAACACTGCAAATGTAAAGAAAATGACTGACTCAGACTTCTTTACAGTGGTGATAGGAACCAGGGGTCAGGATGTCTCCAGTGCAACTATAACCATTTTATTTACTATCCAAAACGACCAGTGAACCTACACACAATTTTAAATGTATTGTTTATGAATACTTTAATGTTGTAAGTCATGGTAAATCAAAACAAAATATACTTTCTTTGGCAACTGTTTTGCTTTACAAAACCCTGCCTATACCTCTCCACCATAAATGGATTTGAACAAAGGCCAAAAGCTTATCTCAAAAGTATCATAAAACATCTCATCATAACCATTTTATGTAATAGTTTTGTGTGAGGTACCTTTTAGATGCATTAAACATTTTGGACGTGAGGCTCCTATCACACACTCACTGATGTGATAAATTATGGCTCGGTACGTTTCTCTAGAACAGAACATTTAACATCAAACCACTCTGAATGTCTTCGGTTACATCTTGAAGAATTAATAATGGAGACATTTTGAAAAATCTGTGTAAAAGTGAAAATTCCTATGGTTCTTTGCATGGACGCACCTTGAGTTCATATATTTATATAACTTTTACAAACCACATGCACAAGAGTCTTATTTACATTTTTTTTAAAAAAATGAATTAAAACAATGGTTCTTTTATGCCATTGCCTGATTCATTTTTGTGTGTTATATATGGTAGGGTATCTTTTAGGGATGTAACGATACACAATACAAAAACAAATACGATACAATATGAAAACATTTTAAGTACAGAACAGGTGTGTAACGGACCAGTATACACATTTTTATATGAGATTTTTGATACTGAGGTCAGGATTCGATTCGGTGCTCAGTATTTTAAAAATATCTTGATTCTGCAGAGCTTTTATTATGTACTATACAGATTGGTTTGGCTCAGATAGATCCCCATATAGAAAAGTTCTCAATGCATCACCCTCTAACAAAAAAAAAGCCAAAAATCACAACCCATATAATTTAAGCCCTCCAGGTAAAAGCCCAGGAATTTGATAGTGTCCATGTGATAAGTCCCACCTCCTCCTACATTACTTTGATTGAGCACACCCAGATGCCTAGTTTTGACAGTGGTTTCCATGAAATACGGTAAATGAGAGACACTCAGGAGAGAGCGAGGGGTGTATTAAAATTTCCATACAGTTTTAAAGTAGATTTTTTTGGTTGTAAATATTACACCCTTAGTGTCTTTTGTTTTAATTTCTACTGCATCATGCTTGGTTCTAGACTTGTATACATTATTCTTTGTTGTTGTGTAATCTGGTCACAGTGAACACAGTGGGTGGAGCTAAAGGGATGTTCATCTTCATTTCTCTTAAAGCCAGCTAAACCCTCAGAACATACTGCCTGCATGCCAGTCACTCACCTTTGGCCATGTCATTGAAGAACAGACTGTCTGCATGCTTGCAAGTAGGTATAGCAACACTGCTACTCAAACACAGTTCAACACACCACACAAGATATCCTATTTTGATGATCTGTGTCATTGTGTTGGATTCACCCAAACAGGAACGGGGTGGAGGGGTGCACAGTTGGCTCTGATTACAATGCATGACTATGAGTGTAGTGTTGTGTGGCAAAAGGGGCAGGAGGTGCTATTTAAAGCAAGGTCTATGTCCACGTGGCACTGCTCTCTGTCCTGCTAGTACTTTCTTCACTCCTGACTTTGCCTGTGTGCAAGACACTGCATCATCAGGTCCCAGGTCACTTAGGAACGTGGGCAGGGGGTGGGGCATGTTTGCGACTCACAGGAGTAGCTTGACGGATTTGCGCGTGGTCCATGGTGGCCGCCACCTCAGCCGTCAGCAGAGTTTCCCCTGCGACCCCCTGCAGATCCCCAAGCCGACGGTGCCCACGAGCGGCGTGCGCAGGAGCAGCAGCGTCAGCAGTGGCAAGCTGCTCTCGCTCTCCTTCAGCGAAAGCATGCGCAGCGACATCGACCGCTACCTGTCCGAACAGGGCCTGTATCCGCTGCGGCAGGGCCCTGGAGAGCAAGCGGAGCTGAAGGGACTCAAAGAGGTGCGGGCTGCTGCCCAATTCAAGAACCTAGAGGACTTCCTGAGGACCAATGGTGTGACCCTGCAGGAGTGTGTGTCCTATCAGACGGGCATGAGGTACAGGTAAGAACTGGAGTTAAAGGTCCTGCTGCTGAGAGAGGATGGAAGTGCTTTTTTCTACAGGTGGCATAGCTTCTTATCTGTGCAGTCTTGCAGGTTGTCTTGGTGTCATACATTCATAATGTCTTCTGCAGTTGCCTCTCACTTTGCTCCTGTCACAGCACCCCATCATTTCAGTTCCATCTGTGCAACAAGCGTAGACGTAATTTATCAAGTGGCCCATATTGTTTTTATCACTGGAACGGGGTATTTCAGAATGTAAAGATTGTTGAAAATGTTCTGGAAAAAAAGCAGAAACCTGTCTTAAAATGTGTAGTGAAAATCTGCTCACCACAAGTGCAACGTTTGCCCAGTGAAGATTGCATAATTTAAATCAGACAGCTTAAATGTAAAAAAAAACTCAAACCTAATCATTCTAGGCAAAAGCATGGCCACATCAGGCATGAAAAACATTTATGGACCATGTATGTCTTACCTTTGATGACTCAATGTACTGAAGTAGACGTTTTGACACAGTTCATTTTAGCTTTTGTAGTAAAAGAGTATTGTAAGTACTTTGCAGAAAACTGATGACAATGTTGTTATTAGAATTTTTTTGGGCTGTTTTTGGCTGTGGATGGGTAGAAAATGACATACTTCACTCTATCAGGGACAAGATCTTACTTTTACAACTCCCCCAGATAGCGTTATATTTTTTGGTCTCAGCTGGAGCTACAAATTCAAACACCAGCACACAGATAAACTGAATACTTGAGGCAATGGTGGATAACAACGATTGCTAAGGAGTTATTGGAGGGCTGAGAAAATAAAGCTTGGTGGAGAGCATCACGATTTTGATTGGCCATAATAAAGTGACAGCAGTCATGGAAAACACTTCGTCACTGTCTTAAAAAAATTAATATCTCCATTTTTTTCAATTTAATTTTTTCTGCATCAACTCAGCATTGTCTGGTGTCAGGTTTATCTGCTAATAAAACCACTAATACAGCCCAGGTTTTAAGTGTCTTGTTGAAAAACAGTTTTGGTGAATATCCCCTATTTTGTACATCTCTCTGGGCCTAGGTTACCTTGTTTGGTTTTGCCAGTCTGCTATAAAGTTATGTATTTTGAAGATTCTCGTTGTTTTGACCTTTTAGCAGTGTAGCTAAGGATCTATATATATTTACATGTTGTCATGTTGTGATTTCCATTGCCCTATTTTGGGGATTTCATATATTTAGTGTTTGTTGAGTGCTGTGCTGGTTGTATTTTTTGGACAGGCTATTTGTTATAATTGGCCTTGAGCTGTTTCTCACTAGGTCAAAGTGCTTGATGCTGATATGTGCTGTCCAGCAGTTTTGTCATATATTTTCATCATATTTTCTGTTCTGTGCTTAAGTTATTTTATTTTGTTAACCTACTTTAGCACATTCATTATTTTGGCCTAGTTACTTTTAATTTCTTTTGACTCTTTGCCAATTTAGTGTCAGATAGCTGTTTTCCTTAGTGAGGCAGGTTGTTGAAGGTAACATATTATTCTTAGGATGCTTAAGGCAGTGTGGTGTGATAGTGAGGAAATCTCATAAAGGGAGGCAAGTTGGCTGGTAATTAAAAAAAACTTGGAAGCAAGTAATTTTGCTAACTAGTGCTAAGTTAGCATAATAGCATCAGCTTGTGTTTGCTGCTGTAAAGGCAAGTAGGTCAGTACATATAACGTTAGCCTGCTGTCTGTACGCTGACTGGGCAAACATGGACATTCAGATGTACCCAGTTGTCCTTACAACATCTAGCAAAAGAACAGAGGCCCCAGTGAACCAGAGAACATTCTACAGCCTCTCAAATATCAACACAGTTATGGCACACAAACCAAAGGTTTGGTTGGTTGTGTTTACTAAGTGATGTCCTATAAGGACTTGTGACGTGAAGTAAGTGACAACAACCACACAAGACATGAAATATCTGGCAAACACATGGGTTATATGTGACTTATGACCCTGCATTTTGTGTAGGCATTAAAACAATGAAATGGTGATGAAGGTAGAAAAGCATGAGGAACAGACAAATAAAGGTTTGAAGCCATTTTATTAAAACCAACAACAAGAAAAATGCTATAGTACCTTATGCCAAAAGAACAAAAAACACTCTTACCTGCTCTGAAAACATTTAAAACAAACTAAACCATAGCACCCATGGTAACAGTCCTCTCTCCCTTCATCCCGCCATCTTGAATGCCTTTTTTTTAAGGCTTAGGTTCCTCCTTCTGTTACACCAGCCAAGACTGTGATTGATCAGGTACACCCGTTGAGGGGGATACAGAGAGAAAGACAGAAAGAGACCCAAAGGCCTTGGTCAGACTACCAGCCCCAGTCCAATTTTTGGCATATCCAGATAGGATCCAAACCACATTCGGAGGTGGTTTGAAATGTCATTCCAATCAGATATTTACAGATTCTTCTCAGTCTGGACGTTCTGGCCGCTCATATCGTATTTCAGAGTCTTTTGCATCACTTGCAATACTACAAACGACAGATGCAAAATGATGCACCTCCATCTCTCCTGCATTCACACTTGAAATCCACATCACCAGCATGGCTACGTAGTTACTGACGCCCCATTATAATTGCAACCCGTGCAGATAGGTTGGTGATGTCTAGATACACAAATCTGATTCAATGTGGAAAGGCATCTCCAAAGATCCCATTTGAGAAACAAATCCGATTTGCATGCACTTTAAACATAACCAAACAAAACATGTGCTAAAATGTTAGTCACACTGGGTTTATTTGGGGCTAGCTTTGGGGATTTTTTTTGTTAAATGAATATTATTCTTATAAATTATATATTATAATTATTATTATATTATATATTATATAACAATATATTATATTATTATATATTATAATCATTTTAGGATGAGACTATTCGGTCTCATGTGAAACAAATGCAACTGAGTTCTTATTGCTTATGGGAATACATTCTTCTAACGCATTGCAGGTAACATCTCGAGATGAGTGTAGATCACATACTCAAAGCTGCAGTTCTTTTATTTTGCTAATTCATCATTAGAGCCACATCTAATACGTATTATCAGTCATCTACTCTAATCATGGAGCAAAAACTCTCAAAGGATTTTATGCACCATAAGGACCTGCCACTTCAGTAGTGGACGGGGAATGAAATGGCTCTAGTAGATGTGGGGTCAGTGCGGGGCCTTTCAGTACAATGAATGATTGTTTGTTTAAATGAACAGTGATTTAACTGAATGTGTGTCTGTGCAACAGGACTGTCACTGAAACCTGTTTCTCATAGACCGAGCAAGGTTTTCCTTTACTTTGTGCTTGTCACTCGCACTTTTCAAAACAAAACTCAACCCATATTGCTTCACTGCTTCCTGTACTGTAATTGTTAAAATGACCACATGTACTATATAAACATTTTAGAGTATTATTATTAGAGCATTAGCTTTTGTTTTTATGTAAACAAAATGTTGACACAATTGCTTTTTTCCATTTGCTGTCAGTGATGACTGATGCAGACTTTGTTGATTAATCGCTGCAGCCCTAATCAGATTAGACCGCCTGCTTGTTTGCTTTGCAGTTTGAAAATAGAGTTTATATTTAGTGCAGTTCAGGGGAGCCGTACAAAACTGAAATAGATTATGCTCTCATCTCCCATGTGGAGCATTTGAGGTCAGTTATTCTTCTTTTTTTGTTGATTATGTTTTTTTTGTGCCATATATGAGATGACCATTTTAAATCTCTTCTCTGCTTTGACTCTGACTAAAATATCAAAAAATATGTTTAATTAATTTTTTAAGTCATATTGACTTCATTCTAGTGCATGCCTTGTTTTAGTTCAAATACTCAAAATATTCTGATGAAAAATGCTGACACTGCATTTTACTCAGTACATAAAAGCACCTATAAATTATTTTTATCTGAAATAGGAATTGAAACACTTCATCCAGAAAACAACTATTGAAAAGCTCTTTTGTTACATAAGATAATGAGCATAAAGGGATGTGAAAGGGCATAAATGTCCGAAAACAAATCTGACGCTTTGCTATAATTATTCTATTTAGATTGCAAAAATTCTCGCCACTTAATCTCAGCTTAGTCTCATCTTAAAAGACAGAATCATTTTATATTTTCAAGAATACTGAATATCATATTATACAAAGTGCCCAGTCAATTACGTCCACCGACTGTGTACCTGCACTGATTGGCCATTTAATCAGGAAAAACAACTATATAGGTGCGCTTTGTTTTACAACTATGATAAACCATGTGGAAACAAGCTTTATTTTAATAGTACAGTTGTACACAAAAGTTTTGATAGTACAGTTGTATACAAAAGTAAGCCGTGATCTCGTTCCCACGCCTTACCAAGTCATGGCCACGACTTAATAATCTCATTCCCACGCCTTACTGAGTCGTGGCCACGCATTAGGATCTTGTTCCCACACCTTAATAAGGCGTATTATTTTTATTTATACAGGATGTCCCCAGCGGGGCTCCGTACTTACGCAGTTTTCACAAAGTCTCCTAGGTAAGAACAGAGTCTGTGCACGCTCAAAAGCACAAAGGTGCGAACTATTCTACGGTTTAAAAACACGTCATGGATCTGTTGTGGACTTTTTCTTAGGACCTTTCTCAAGAACAACTGAAAAAAAAATTAGGAAGATATTGGTGAATGAAGCCCCTTGTTCAGTGTAAGTTAATCGAGCAGGCTACTGTGTGAGAGTGCCTAGTGTGACAGAACATCTGGTTGCATGTAACAGTAATGTGTATACAGATGCCTTAAACTTCTGAGCAGGTGTTTTTGGGATTTTTACCATGTGCTCAGGAATATTTAGGCCTATTTTTCACTGTATTATTTAATTAATTGATCCTCAAACAGTTGCATATTTGTTGGACAGTCAAAATCTGTAGCATGTGTAATATTTTTTCTGGGCTAGTTCATCATTTCAGCCTTCAGATACAGAAGTTTAGAGTTTCACTCAAAATAATTTTATAATTAGTATT